TTCTTCACGAAGTGGTAAAATAAAATTTTTGTATTTGCAAGACCTACTAGTAAAGACAACGATTTTAGTTTAGCAACTTTGCATCAAGCAACAACAGCGCAACGTGAACATATCCCACAAAGTTGCATACCAAATATTGAAATAACTCAAACGAGTCTCAAGTGATGCATAACTGAAAAATCGGAGCTTAATTAGAAAATTATTTTTTTAAAATAAACGGTAAGAGTTAAAAAAAAAAAAATAAAAACCGATCCTTATATTTCAATCCTCTATCGAAAAAAAAAGTTTCGATTGATTCTGAGATTTGACCCAAATTGGCCTGTCACGTTTCACGTGGAATGAGCCTTATACATTTTACATTTTTATACCCTTGCAGAGGGTATTATGATTTCAGTCAGAAGTTTGCAACGCAGTGAAGAAGACGTCTCCGACCCCATAAAGTATATATATTCTTGATCAGCATCACAAGACGAGTCGATCTAGCCATGTCCGTCTGTCCGTCTGTCCGTCTGTCTGTCTGTCCGTCTGTCCGTCTGTCCGTCTGTCCGTCTGTCTGTTTCTACGCAAACTAGTCTCTCAGTTTTTGAGCTATCGGGACGAAACTTTCGCAAAAGTCTTCTTTCTATTGCAGGTAGTATATATGTCGGAGCCGACCGGATCGGACAACTATATCTTATAGCTCCCATAGGAAGGATCGGAAGAAAAAAACTTTAAAAAATTCTAGCTTTGGTGTTTTTTGAAATATTACCTTCTACTTTTGGGGATGTTATTTTTTAAATATTTCTGAATTTCGAATTAATTATTTCAAAAATCGGACTACTATATCATATAGCTGCCATAGGAACGATCGGAAAATTAATGGAAAAGTAATAGGAAATAAATTCTAGCTTCTTTGGTTTTTATTGTATTATCTTCTACTCTAGGATATAACTCTTTTTAAATATTTCCGAATTTCAATTTTAATTTGATCAAAATCGGACGACTATATCATATAGCTGCCATAGGAACGATCGGAAAATTAATGAGAAATATTAGAAAATTGAACATTTTTGCGATTTGTTAATTGATAGGAATGATCTGCAAGGGTATATAAGCTTCGGCTGGCCGAAGCTAGCTTCCTTTCTTGTTTATCTTACTTTAACTAGTAACAATGTCTGCTTGCTGTGTTGTTGGTTGCCAATTTACTGGCAAAATCACATCTCGTCAGCCGATTGTTAATTGCTGGTTATGTGAGAACATTGCGCAAGCTAAATGTGTTGACTTTGGGCATAGTGCGGCACGTGCTGGATTTACGGACTTATTTAGTCGGTTTAATAAAATAATAATAAAATCATGTTTTTAAATTTAAGAAAAGTTTTTCATAAAATTCTGTTTCTATGGTCTTTTTTCCTAGATTCAAAAAATCAATTTCTAAAATCAGAAAATTTTCTAAAATTAAGAAAAAATTTCATTTTTTGTCGATTTTCTAAAATGTAGGAAAAAAATTGTTGAGTGTATATTAAAGGTAGAAAGAAGCGTTTCCAAATCTATAAAGAACATATACCCTTGATCAGGATCTCTAGCCATGTCCGGCTGCCCATCTGTTACTTTGTGCCAGGCCCCTTTCAACGCCCACAATCGCTTACAACGCTAAGCATACATATATCTAGCATACATAATATCTATCCATCCATAGTGAAGATACAGAGTTGAAATGAAAAGGCAATATTTTTCAAAAGTGAAACTATCAAATACAAATATTTCCAAAAAATTAATATTTTAGGACGAGGTTCCCCCTGAAGCAGAGTTCCAGGGTTCCCCAAAATTACTAACTGTCACAATAATTTAGTGACGTTTTCCACTCTTTAACACCTACATCGATTCTGAATTGTGAAATAAATAATGGACATATAGGCAAGTTCCTTCGGATTCCGCAGGATTCGAGCGCAATCATTCAGGCATCGACTGACATTCATTTGGTTTATTCTCGTACGCCCACCGCAATTATGATAATATGATGTGCACATGTCAGACCAAAATTCATACGCCATGTTGGCGCGCTGGGCAACAACCAATACACGCACACCCCCCACACGCAAGCACATATATAGACACACCCACACAGAGACGTTGACGGGCCCTCTCGTGTATGCAACATAATTGAAAGCTGCATGCGTCAACATAATTTTCTGACAACTTTAGTTAAGCATGTAAATTAAGTTAAAAATAACGATGACATTGGTTACATAAGCGCAAATGCATGCACAGGCAGCGGGGCGGTGGGAGGTTGTCGTTGAGGAGTGGTATGCGAGTGGGCGGGCCACTCCTTTCTGCTCCTGCTTGCACATTTTTCTTTTGGCCCAGGCACTGGCACGACTGCTCGTAATTGGAGCGTGGAATATCACTCTTCATGTTATGACATTTTTTCGCCAACAGCGAATTAATTGTACACCGCGAGAAACTGTAACAATATGTATTATGAATTAGTCCCGACACAAGCAGCTGCTGTGACACTGAACTATTCAACCAAACAATTCTCATCGCTATAAGTTCCGAAAATCTAAATGCCTAAAAATGTTACTTCTCGAAAAAATAAAATAACGCTTCGGTCAGAAGCTTTATTTCTGCATTCTTATATTTTTTATTTTTATAGTTTCAAACCTTTTATTAACGTTTGAAGTAAAAAAAAAACAAAAAACCGTATATTTATGTGATCCACTGTAAGTCAAAATTATTTTTTAACAAAAAACAAGAGAGAACGCTATTGTCGGGTGGGTGTAAAAAAAAAAATTTTTGGTTAAAAATTTTTTTTAAATCTTAATTTGTTTTAATTTTTAAGAAATTAAAAACTTGTTTGTTTTAATAAATTTTATTTTGAAAGGAGAGGTTTTAGAGGAGTTAGTGCAAAAGACATGAAGTCCATTGGATTCATATAACCGGAGATACAGATTTTCAGATTTTTCTTCGTCTTTTGGGATATACCTGCAAGAGTGGTCAACCAATTTTGGTAATCCTTTGTAGAAATGTAATGTTTTTTTGAAAAATATAACCCATAGAAATACAAATATGTTTTAAGTATCTTCTCTCACTCGAAAATTCTCTGACTTCGAAAAAGAGAGGAAGAAGCAATAAAGCGACTTAAATCACGTGAGGGAAAGATACCTTAATATTACATTTCATTCCAAGTCAAAATCGATACCACATAACATAAAATCGATCATCGTTTCACATTAAGTTTTAAGTTTCTACAAAATTGTTAGATTGCTCTTCATTGCCAAACCAATGGTATCATTTTAAAACATAAAGTGTCAATGGTATTTTTCTGGTCCTTATTAAGTTTTTTTTTCATTTCTTGCAGTGCATTTATCTGGCCTGCGACTCACAAGTATTTGTACGTTCCGCAGTGAACGTGTGTAGAGAAGGTGGTGCAGTGGGTAACCCACCACAATGTTGAGGTTTTGGTTGCACCACCCACTCACCACATGGCCCACTGCCGCCCCCGCTAGCCACATGCAAAGCAAACCGTTAGCAGCAACAGCGGCAGCGAGATTCGCAAAAATAAAGAAGAAAAACAAGAGAGAACGCTATAGTCGGGTTCGTGTCCCGACTATCTAATACCCGTCACTCAGCTAAAGGGAGTGCGAACGCTGTGTCGGGTTGGTGTCCCGACTAATAATCGTAACTCAGCTAAAGGGAGTGCGAGGGAGATAGATATATGTTGACAATTTATAAAGCGTATAACTTTTTAATGAATAGTCCGATTTGAAAAATGTCTTCTACATTTCGATAGGTATAAATATACATAACAAAATTGCATTTATACTTCTCGGAAATCTTTAAAGATGTGGGCGCAGGTCCCATTTTAAAATCGTTAGTGGGCGATTGTGGGCGTTAGAGGGGGCGTGGCGCTCGGCTAAAATAAACTTGCGCTGCGTAGGAAGCCAAAGAATATGTGTGGGAAATCTCAACCTTCTAGCTTTTGTAGTTTCTGAGATCTCAGCGTTCATACAGACAGACAGACGGACAGACGGACAGACGGACATGGCTAGATCGACTCGGCTAGTGACCCTGATCAAGAATATATATACTTTATGGGGTCGGAAACGCTTCCTTCTAGCTGTTACATACTTTTGCACGAATCTAGTATACCCTTTTACTCTACGAGTAACGGGTATAAAAAGAAAGCTGCGACGCCAAGGTTACACGCTACGTTACCTAAAAATACAACACACTCAGACCGACGTGGTATACCTGACCAAGACAAGAACCGTAAATTGCGACTACATCCTGCTCCTGTTGCAGATTTTTCTTGGCTCGTTGCACGCAGCCCTTTTTGCCACTTTTCCATTTCCCATTCTGAGGTCGGATGTTGGGCGACTCGAAGACCCGTTCACCGGTAGGGATGATATATAAAAATGATAGAGGCACATCCATGATCGTAAGACATAATTCATCATTGAAAACTATTCACAATAGTTAGACACGAAACTTACACTAACCAAGTTCTCAGAATAATACGGGAGAGGTCTGTACACTCATAGACACTTTAACGAAATAGCGGTTCCTTTTTCTAGAGTTAGGCATCTATTGTCTTACACTTGGGGCGATATTTCTTTAATTTAAATTCTTCCTTAAATTCATTCCCATTAAATTACAAATTACAAAAATTTTAAATTTAGATTTACTTACTACATGCAACAATAAAATTATAGCTGCTTTCGTGTTATTTTAACATTCATTATACCCTTGCAGACGGTTTAAAAGAAACCATGAATAAAACCTTTGTTTTCCGGTAAGGTACGTTTTTCTGATTAAGAAAATGGCACTTAAAATTTGTTTATGGATAAAATTTTTTTAAGTGTAAAAAATGTTTTTGACCCTAGAAGGGTCAGCATTTGCCAGCGTTCTATAGCGTTCTCTCTTGTTTTTTTTTTTTAATTTTGACAAGTCAATCAATTTATCAAAAACAGTTTAAATGTTTCCAAACACAGCACTCTTTCTTTTAAATTCATAGTTTAACTAAATCTCATTTTCGAACAGATTTTGTCTGTAGCCAAAGGTGTTTATTTAATTTTTAGGTTGTTTGATATTTAGTGTCCCAGTCAAAATTCAGCAGATGATGCGAACTTAATGCCGCTGTCTTGTACATTTATTACTCACGAGGCTATCGGCTAACCAGGATCCAGGGCTTCGCATTGGAGTCAGGGAGATTCCTCTAGTCACGGAATGGAGGACCCTGAGGCAGAGGACTTGCGGGCCTTCGAGCGCCGGCTAGCGGAGGTAGTCACTGCAGAAAAGCCGAGCTCCTTCCGCTGGCGCCTCGTACTGGGCGCGATTTTCGCCTGCTCGGCGATCAGCGCCTGCCACTGGATGCGAGTTGCCAAGGAGAGCGAGTCACTGGTATTCCGAATCCTGTCCAGCCACAGCGCATTCGCCTTCTCCTTGGCGACTGTATGCCTGTTAATCATGTACGGATTTAATCACGCCGCCAAGCAGGATCCCGCCATTCTGCGGGACACCCGGGAAATGCTTTCTCCTTTCCGTCTTAACTGCGACAACCAGGGCCGTCTTATCCCGTTCCCACCGCCCACCGAGTAGCTGGACATACGTCATTAATAACACGCTCAAATTGACTCTGTTGAAATAGTTGCTAGTCAAATAAACAATCCCCTATACAAAATATGTTTGGACAGGATCGTTAAGCCCTCTCTCCCCTATCAGGCCAAATCCCATGGAAAACACGGTTTCAAGAAATATTCTACACATTTTCTGAGAAGTTACCCCAAATGCCAAAATCAATGGCAAAAAACACCGAAGCAGAATTTTTTTCCATTCTTTTTTCTATAATATCTATGGGAGCTATATGATATAGTCGTCCAATCTATATAAGTCAGACTACCAGCAATAGAAAGAAGACTTTGGGAGAGTTGCACCCTAGTTAGCGTAGAAGGCTCATTCCACGTGAAACATGACAGGCCAATTTGGGTCAAATCTCATAATCAATCGAAACTTTTTTTTTCGATAGAGGATTAAAATATAAGGATGGGTTTTTGTTTTTTTTTATCTCTTACCGTTTATTTTATTTTTTCGTTTTTGAAGTCATTTTGAAATAAAACTTCTATAACTCATATATTGTGTATAGTAAGTATGGTACCACTTTCCCAGAGAATTGCAAATTGTTCGCAGTTGCAGTTTCTTTTAGCTGCTGTTATCTTGCTGTAGCGGTTATAAAAAAAAAAACAAAATTCAGCAAAATGCAATGGAAGGACACAAAGGCAGAAAGCATAAGAGAGAAAGAGAGGCAAGCAGAGTGCGTTGCATATGCAGAGATTACCATTACGTATTCAGGAATGCAAGGATTTTTAAAAGTTCCAAGCCCATAAGCCACAATGCCACGTCTCACCCAGCGTGACATTTATTATCTGGCTCTGCACAGTGGGGAAACAGAGACAATTTTGGGAATTATTTTTTAAAAAATATATCTTAAACAGATAAAAGTAGTTAAGTTATCCCTTCTTAAAATTTCACTTTTTTAACAAAACTTTGTATTGTTATTGTTTGTTTTTTTCATCCTAGTGCTAATAGTTACAAAATAACTTATAGTAATGCCGCTGCACTCATAAAAATATCTTTTTAAAAATCTTCGCGACTACTACTAAAAACAAGAACATTTTTTGTCCATTTCTAAAGGCCAGCGATTTAAAAACGAGATTTCTAAATTTTAGAAAGATATTTTTATGAGTATAGTCACATATTAATTAGAAAAGACAATCCAGAGAAGATTGTAACGCTTAAATTTTTTTTGTTATGCATTCACATTTTTTTAGTGTTTAACATAATCTTATATTATCTCTAAGAACTATTTGCTATTTATTTTAGACTATTTTGTACAGGGAATCAATCACACTTTGAGTGATTTTTTAAGCGAAATAATATCGCTTACTAAATAATCATTATTTCTGAGCGATATTTTTTTTCGCTTACAAAATAATCATTAAATGGTAATTGTTATTTTTTACTCAAAAAAAATAATCATTTTTTTCGGTCCCTGTTTTTGTATGTTAAAAAAACAAATATAAATACAAAATTGAATTGTTTTTATTTACCATTTTGCATTTTATTTTTTATTTATTTAATCTTAAAAATTGATTTTGGTAACTTAACACAAGGGATAGTTCCAAAGAACTCATGAAGTCTTCTTCTCTCTTGCTCGAACTCATGACCACAAGGTTATAAGGCAAACAAATTCAGTAAAAAATTGAGAAAATTAAAATATTTGCAGCATGTTATTTGGTGGTCTTGAACTCGGGTCTGCGCTCTCCTAAGGTAATATTCCAAGTTCAAAGCCTCTTGAGGAACGTTTGTTTTAAATTTAATAACGTTTGTTCTCCTACATAACACCTACTTTAGCTTTTTTTTTACAAATCTGTCGCATTTATAAATATACAATATATGCGTAATATAATTTTCGTTCAATGATGTTGTCTTAGCTGGAGGAATATATAAACCTCGGCCTGCCGAAGTTATCTTTCCTTCTTGTTTATAAGTGATTTAAACTTACTAGAAAACCAATCTTTGACCATCGTGACAATCATGATGGCTTGGTTTGATCTGCAGTGTGGCCTCTGTTACCCCACTGTGAGCTGCGACCTCTTTCACTGCGTTTTCTACCCCTTTCTCCTCGATTTTTATACCCTTGCAGAGGGTATTATAATTTCAGTCAGATGTTTGCAACGCAGTGAAGGAGACGTTTCCGACCACATAAAGTATATATATTCTTGATCAGCACCAATAGCCGAGTCTATCTAGCCATGTCCGTCTGTCCGTTTCTATGCGAACTAGTCTCTCAGTTTTAAAGCTATCGCGATGAAACTTTCCCGAAAGTCTTCTTTTTGTTGCAGGTAGTACATATGTACTAACGGAGCGAGCCGGATCGGACCACTATATCTTAAGGCTCCCATAGGAATATTCAAACAAATATAAGAAAATTCATTGCAACTTTGTAGGAAGTAGGCGTTTTGATTTTAGACAACTTAAAAACAAAATTTAAATAGGCACGATGAATCTGGAATCCCTGGAAGTGCACCGAGTGAGCATTAAACTATTTCTATTTATCTGCAAGGGTATATAAGCTTCGGCTGGCCGAAGCTAGCTTCCTTTCTTGTTACACATAGAATAGGTTTGAAAAGGATAATACTTTCCAAACTTTATTTAATATTGTTATGTATTTATATTATACTTTTACAAAATATATTTCAATGCAGTAGCTAAAGTTCGTTTTTATGTCTTCTGAATTATTGCAGTGTAGTCACCGAAACACAGTATAAAATAAAGACAAATTTTCAATTTATTTTTAAGTATGTAAAAGTAAAATATTTTAGAAAGATATGTAAACTTCCGTTTTCACTTGCGACTTTTCCAGGGTATAACAAATTGCAAACTGAGAATCAGGCGACTGCTGAAATTCCCTTTTCCGGACCAAAGTGAGTGAGTAGGAGATGTGTGATGTCGGGCAGGAAGAAGAATGAGAGCCGGAGCTCGTTTGCGGTCTATGATTGTCGACGGTCGCCAGACGGAGACATTTGCATGCCCGGTTGGTTAGCCAACTTACGTGTCGTGGGCGGGGAAGATACGCGGGAGCGGTACTAGCAAACCGACATTGGCCTTTTGATTTCGCAGTCAGAAATTGGGCCGTGCTCTCATGTTGCCCAGTCCGCTCACGTTCCTGGAAAATATGAATTTTTCGCTAAATGTTTTGTAAATGTTTCCGTTTACAACTTTATAATTAGTTGACGCTGCGACAACGCGAGCGGAAGCGGAAAAACGAGAGCTGAGAAAGCCCAGCGGAAATTATGCAAGTTAAGCGAATTGCCCGTAGCGATACGACAAGGAATCTCCTATGGGGTGTCCGAGAGCGACTCACAAAACACTGAGATGACGAGAAAAATTGCTTTTGCGATGTGCCAATTTTTGAATTATACCGGCCTGTTCAAGTTTCACTTGGAAATTAATTCGTTATTATTTTTTATTTTTTTTATTTTGTTTTAATATTATAGCATTATTAGGATCTCTTTAACCTTCCCTTCTTTCTTGGGAAATATTCTTATAGTCCTATTCCACGACATTGTTCGGCTCATTCACTAGATCCATTTTTTTTAGTACTCGTAGAGTAAAAGGGTACGCTCAAAAAGAAAAAAGATTAAAATCACGCTTGGTTTTAGAAAATTGCCTATGAATTTGCTTTACTGGCGGTTTTGTCTATATTAAAGAAAGTAGAGAATACAAAATGTACTAGACAGAAAGCGACCTCTGTTGGCCTAAGGCCTTTTTGTATGAAAAACGGGTGTCTCAACTTACACGCTCAAAGTGTCCCAACTTACACAAAATGGGATGTTTCGGGAAAAAAATTAATAACTTTTTTTCTGACTGTCACATTAAGCTGATTCTTTTTTTAATTTGTTAACAGTTAATATACTAATGTTTTAAATCTCTTACCAAGTTAATTTAAGGAAGTTATTAATTTTAAATGGAATTTTGAAAAAAGTTGACAAAAACTTTTTTGGTGAAAATTGGTACACGACTCTCACAGCTTAAATCTGGCTAGAGCCTGGCTTATAATGATTTCCCCAAATGTTTTGTCACTAAAAAGGACTACCAAAAAAAAAAAATAAAAACAATTTTGAGAAAATTGAGTGTCTCAACTTACAGACCGTCTCAACCTACAGACCTCTCCCCTATCTGTACTCCTTTAAATCGAAAAACCAGCATGAGTGTTCGATTTTGTCTTGCTTGAGCTGGCAGAAACGTTGATGTTTGCAGACATCGATGTTTTGCGATGTTTTTAAAGTGTTTTCCAAATTTGTTTTAAATTATAAAATATAATTCTAAAATCTCAATGGAATTTGTATTTATCCATCGTTTATAGCTTAAGCAGCGTCGCGCCTACACCACCAATACCATTCCTTATAGATTCAAGAAAATATATATAGATATAGATATAGTTGTCCGATCCTTACGTTTTTGATTTATATACTACCTGCAATAGATAGAAGACTTTTGTAAAGGATTCATTCCGATAGCTTGAAAACTGAGAGACTAGTTTGTGTCATTTATCCCTCTGCAAGGGTATAGTTTAACTAACTCTAACTCTGTTATTGATAAGAAACTCGTGGCTGATGAACAATCTTAGACTTCCATTTAAATTCAAATTTGTCACGCCTCAAAAGGGACTAGGGCTCACACTCAGGCGCCACGCACACACTGACCCTGGGGTCCTGTCACCTGCCACGCCCCTCCCTCTGGTGTTGCCCCGAAATTTGATCAAATTGCTGCTGCATACTTGGGGGCGCCAGCTTGGAATTTGCATTAAAATTAGGCTGCGCAATACCGGCGTCCTATTACGCTAATCAGCTTGGCTCTGTCTCTTTCCCTTCCTACCCCTCTCAGTCCCTGTCCTCATTTTTGTTAATTTGTTGAAATTTTTGGTGTTTCCCCGGAACTTTCCCCTGGGCAAAACCTTGAATAATGATTGATTTTCCGCGACATTTTGGCTTGACACTTCTCTCGCTTATCCTCTGTCTTGCGTCTAATTAACATAATGCTGACCGTTTTTAATAAGTTGGGGATTTTGGGGACTTGAGGGCTTGCTGTTTTTGGGGGATCTTTGGAAGACTGACAAGTGGAAGCAGGTGCTGCAAATGCATTTGATTGCCCAATGTACTAGTTGCCTTTTAATTAAAACTCCCATTCGAGCCGAAGATGCAGACCCAGCACGCCCAACTTTATCCCCAATTTCCCATGCTTGTCCTGCTTTCTACCGCATTCCCTCGGAAAATTCAGCTGTGACTCAATCACGCGGCTCACATCTCGCAGTGAAAATCTAATTAAACAGCTTCGTGAACGTCTTTCTGGATCTGGAGGGAGGAAAGCCGCGGGTGCCACTTAATCGGCGTTGGTGTCGTGTCTCAGTTTCTGTGTGTCTGTACAATTTTAAAATTCAACATACTCCGTATTGTTTCCGTGTTCGTATGTATAATTATTACGGTGCTGAAAAGGGATGAGTCTTTTATAAAACATTTTATACTTGCCTGAAGTTTCTCTTACATTACTATTCGGTAAATAAGTATACGCGTGTATCAGGATTTTGCCGAAAAAAAATATTTTTTAGTTCGCATGTACATACTTATAATTATAATTGTATACCTCGTTTACATGGGTGTAAATTTGGTCTGATTTTAGGAACATTTGCTTTAAAGCCTATTTACTATTCGGTTGGTTTAAAATCGTGTAATTAATTTTCAAACGGTTTCTGTGACACCGAGATTTCTTTTTGGGGAGATAATTTGGTTGGAAGACATTTCTGTGACATTCATGCTAACTGTGTACATTAGGGTTGGTCGATTTGGCGGTCTGCAAATCGTATGGAAGGAACTTATTCAATAAACAATTCTAATATTACCAAAAAAACGATGTCTGAAAAACCTGATTTGCAATTGAAAAGAGACAACGAAAGAATAAGACCAGCATCAATAAATTTGGTATTAAAATAGTTTGCTGTACCAAAAATAAATGTGTGTATTGTGTGTCATGAGAGCTGCCCTCCTTTGAGGACGTTATTTGTGCTATCTCATTCTATCGCTTAATAGAGACAGAGAGGTAAGCTTATTTAACGTCCTCAGCAGAGCTGACGAGACCACCTTGTATAGTTTCACCATGCACCAGTAGGTCACAGAGGAAGGATTTTCGTAGAGGAAAATCTATAGACTTAAAATCAACATTAAAAAAAAAGGAAAACCACCATCTGCAAAAGCGCGATTTGAACTCACAACCCAGAGATTATGAATCGGATATTCTAACCACCCTAAGTCCAGAAAAAAAATTGACCTATGTACAATTTATAATTGTATTGTTGTTTTAAACAAAATGCATGAAGGAAAAAAATAGTTGTGTTACGATATTAATTGTGGTGTCACTATTCAATGCCCCAAAAAATACAACAACAAAATACATGACAATTTCGTAAATAGGTTTTCTTGTTTTAACTGTTAAAAACTATTCAATGACCAAAAAAATAAAGCAACAAAATACATGAAAAATTCAGGAAATAGTGAACTACAATTTTTCTATGATGATTTTACATATTTTTTTTGTGTGTAAACTATGATCTCTTGTGACGAAAGCGTGCAAATCCTACCTGTACCGTCATGATTAAAATTGTACATACATATTTTCAAGATTTTGCTTCGAACAACTTTGTTTAAGAAATATTTGCTAAGTTTAACAAGTAAGTTAAATAAAAACGAGGACGGAAGCTAACTTCGGAAAGCCGAAGTTTTAATACCCTTGCAGATTTCACGAATTAAAATATTACTACAATAGGAACATAAAAAAAATATTTCATAATTCAAAAAATAAAATTTTAAACATTTTCACCCTATTGTTCCTATGGGAGCTATAGGACATAGACGTCCGATCGGAACGAACTTTTACCCTGATCAAGGTATGCACAAAAAAATACGATTTGGAAAGATTCATGTCAATTGCTTTTAAGCTGCGGGAAAAATATTCAGTTTTTGCAAGTTATACCCGATTGTTCCTATGGGAGCTATAGGATATAGACGTCCAATCAGGTCGGATTCAAACTTGATCTGCGTACACATGCTTTGGGACAACTGTGAAAGTTTTAAATCGCTATATTTTGAACTGAGGTCGCAAACGGTATTGAAACAGACATACAGACGGACATGGCTATATCGACCCCCCTATTGAACCTGATCAAGAATATATGTACTTTATGGGGTCGGAAACGTCTCCTTCACTGCGTTACAAACTTCAGACCAAAATTATAATACACTCTGCAAGGGTATAATGACTTAAAAAATACAATTTCATTTAAGCTCCTTGAACGTTTTTTTGTGTGTACTGGCAAGAACACCAACATTGACAACGCCATGTTTATATGCAACATTGACTACTTGACGTGGCGCGACTGACGCGGAACGAAGTTCGATGTTGCTGTTGCTGTTGATGATGCTGCTGTTACCATAAGCACAAGCATTGACATTACCGTTACTGTTGCTGTTGTGCCAGCACCTGCTCCTGCGGCTCTTGCTCCGCTCCTGTTTGCGAGCAAGTCATAAAAGTTGTCTGACTCCGGCTTACCCCAAAGTGAAGGAGGAATGAACCATGTGTGTGGTTCACGGGTACTGAGATAAGTGTACGTCACAACGGTATGCAAAATGAACACTGAGGGCAAACACAAGTCTTATATCACTATGGACGGCAGTCCATGTACACAAGGGCGGTCCACATTTGTATGGAAATTTTTAAGGTCCTACTCTCACCCGCTTATACGGTGCGCATTGTGGTATTCAAGGTATACCAAAAGAAAATTTTTAAAAAAATCGTGTTTCAAAGTTTATCACCCATACGCACTGTTGCCTTCGATCAAAAAGTTTTTCTGATCAAGGTGGCATAGATATCAACAATTCAGTTGATGTTTTGCTCTCCTTTTTTTTACCAATTATTCCAACGAAATTCATAATTTGACAAGACAAGAAATGGGAGAGCGATTTTTTTCAACCAGATTCGAACTGTTATATACTTATATATACTAGCAGGGTCGGTAGCCCGCAGCTTCGCCTGCGGAAATTAAAATTGAAAATACCTTTATATTTGGTTTTTATTTTACACTTTTTAGCCTATAAGCCGAGAAAATATTTTATCATAACTTTTTTCCTTAATTTCCGTAAAAACAACAGTATATTGTCCTAAGCAAACTACTTAAGAAATATATAAAAACTTGCATAAAAAAATCCTAAAATTATAATTGCTTGCGTAAGTTATCAGCTGCACAGAACAGAAAAAATAAATTCATTTTTCGACACAAATCCTTACATTAATTTTCTTCATAACATTAGAACTTTGTCCAAAACATATTGTTTAAATATAGAATTCCAATGCCCCCTCTAACGCCCACAATCGCTTATATACGATTTTAAAAATTTCAATATTTTGGAAAAATAAAAATGCAGTTTTATTGTGTTTATAAATACCTATCGAAATGTAGAAGACATTTTTTAAATCGGACCATTCGTTAAAAAGTTACGGCGGATCAAAGTTTTTATCTCCATCTCCTTCGCACTCCCTTTAGCTGAGTAACGGGTATCTGATAGTCGGGGCACCCGACTATAGCGTTCTCGCTTTCTTTTTTTTTTGGTCCCACGGTTGATTTTATATAATTTTTTTTGTAAGATTGCGGTGGTTGCGGGGAGCTTTTTTGGCAGCACGTTGTTTTTTTGTTTATATGCTTTATTTGACTTTTTATTTAACTCCAGCTGTTGGGGCACTTCTCTTTTTTTTGTTTACCTACCGATCCTGCGAGCGGATCCGTTTTTCGCTTAAACCATTTTGGCCGTAGCCTTTCATAGGTATTTGTGTGTTATTTTTTATATATTCTTTTTTATGTTTTTAAGGTTTTTGGGGGTTAGATCTGTTCGAAATAAACGGTAAAAAAGACTACGAATTTTTCTCTGCATTCGCTAACCTAACCAAAATGATTTAATTAGGCAACCAGAACGGTGGAGTTAAGGTGGAAATAAGGTGAGGTGATATTAGAAAGATTAGGGTACAAGTAATGTAAGGGAAGGGTGAAGGTGAGAGAGGTAAGGTTCGTTTGGACTTTAGTGAGGATAAGGTGGGTTAAGGTGACAAACAAGTTTAACTAGGAAAAAGTGAAGTTAAAGTAAGTAAGTATAGTAAGGAAACATTTTTTTTGCATTAGCAAAGCATAGTAAGTGATCAGGTTACCTTTTGATTAGGAAGTTATTCCTTTTTAGTGCTTTAAAAACTTACCATTTCATTTTTTTGGGTGCATTAAACGACATCTGTTGTGCATATAACAAAGTCTAGTCTTGGCGACAACCGTATCCTTTTACTTCGACCCTCCCTTTTTTCCGCTTCTCCCTCTGTGTGTAGAGTGGAGGGTGGGACTATATTACATTTTATGTCAAACGCGTACGCTTTCAATATTGACAGAGAGTGTCCTTGCTGCAGTTCCCAAAGCGGATGCGGATGCGGTCGCGTCACCTGTTCCGGTCTTCACTCCTCTCCTTTCCCAACAGCCACATCCTTCTTGTATGAATGGTTGTTGCTGCGGGCGCGGCATGATAATGCTAACTTATTTTTCTATTTTTTGGCATTTTGACTCGTTTTTGCGAGTGACACGAACCCCCATCGCCAGTTATTTTCAAATAAAGAGAACGCAATTTCAGGCATCGCTATATTTGCTGAAAACGATCTCTTCATCATTATAATAATATTCCCGGACGGATTTAGAAAGGCTCTCCCAGCGGCTTGATGGTCAGTTCGTGCACTTGGACATGCGGGGGAGTGGCCAGGGCATACATAATACCCGCGGCGATGTCATCCGGTTTAAGCATCGGCAACGTATCGTAACCAGTAGGCAGAATCTCCGTATCGGTCACTCCTGGAGTGATGCTCTAGAAAATACCAATAAAAATAGCTTTGTCTTCATGTTTGATTATATTTACCAATAGGTTTTTTGAAATCTTATTGAATTTTTTACACCCAAACAACAATTATGATCAACCTCCTACTTAGTTGTGAGTGGGACTGCATACAATTAGTCTAATAGTACAATTATAATCAATACAATATTACCAGGAGAAGATAAATTACAACAACAAACCTTTAAAAACTACGGGCGCAGCTGTATGTTTTTATGTTTATACCCGTTACTCGTAGAAATCGGCCAAATCCTGATACACGTGTTTACTAATTTTCCGAATAGTACACGTAAAAAAAGTTTCAAGCTAATCAAAAATGTGAACATTTTTTTTTTTGGCCAAATCCGTTCGGTTTGTAAAAGAACCACCCATATGAGCAAAATAAAACATATCCAAATATACATACGTATTTGGTCATAAGTTCGAGTCTTAAGATTAATAATTAACTTGGAAACATTTTGGCTTACAGAATTTGTAGTAATTTTCTATTTTCTTTCATGGTGGAAATTAAATAGGGCCCTTTCTTCTGCTACAAAATGAAAAATATTTTTTGAAAAATAAAACCGAAGCATTTGATCCACAGGACTGATCGAAAATCATATTGATCAGAACAGCAGTTTAAGTTTTTAAAATCCAAAACAAGTTTTAACTTAAATTACCCCTTTCCCCTCCCCTTTCCTTGTAGCACTACCCCTTCCCCTCATCAGTTTTCCTGCTCTCGGCAGGCTCCCACAAAATGCAACGCAAAATCTTAATAAATTCGTTAAAAAATAATGAAATGAAAAATAATACATAAGCATTTGGGCCATAGAATACCTATTGATCCAAAAATCATCTTGATCGGAGCAGTGATTTAGATTTTTAAAATCGAAAAGTTAATTTTAACTGTAGCCCCCAAATTATGGGGGATATCGAAATTTTCTTTAGATTTATAATTAGGCCTTTTCAAATCCCAAAATTCTCCTTAAAATTTTATAATCTTTAGAGATTCCACCGAATTGATTGTTTTTTAAAATTATTATGTTAATAAGTTTCGATATTTCGACTATCTATACATGCCAGAAGCCATGTATCTTGTATCAAGAAAAGGTAGCGAACTATTTTTACGCTACTGATTACTGATCACTGATGCAAATTTCTTGCATCATGATCAGTGATAATGTGCGTTCAGCAGAACTATCGTAAGAAATCCATCAGTTATCAGTGATTTTGTTGTTCTGCTGAACGCGGCCTATGTGTGTATGTGAGAAGCGCATATGCTAAGTAAAGTTTATATTACCGAAATATCGCTTTTACGGTTCGACGATATCAAGTTATAATTGATCACTATGGACGGCAGTCCATGTAGTGACGAAGCGCACCAGGAGAGTGTGCGAAGGCGACTACTATATATACACGAAGAAATGAAAATCTACTGTGATGGTCCGATCATAATGAATAATACACCTATCGAAAGGTATTGCGAAAACTAACAGGATTGCATACCAAGACTTTAAGAAAATCAATTGGCTTGGGAGAGAGAGCGGTGAAAGTGAAAAAGTGAAAATTTCGAAATTTGGAGCTGTTGGGGCCGGTGGGGATAAATGCCCCCTCGCAATGTTTTAGTTGTATTCCTTTTGAAAATACCCGTCGAATGAGGGGTCATTTGTCAAAATCCGACTCTCCGTTCAAAAGTTATAGCCAAAATAAGATTTTCTTCTTCTTCCCAAAATGAAAATTTAATTCTGTTTGTCCACTTGTCCACTTGTCCAAAATATGTTTTTTAAGTTCTGAAAATTTGATATGACGTTCATCACATCGATATAAAAAACTTTTGTTCTACCACTTTTGGAAAAACCCGCTAGTTTAGCGGGAAAACAGCTATAAGTAGCTAAAATTCGGAAAGCCGTAACTTCTATACTACTAAAGCTACAGGCTTGTGCTGCATCTCGTTTGAAAGGTATTTCTTAAATAAGGTAAAATTGACCTACGTTTTATATCGATTTTTATGGGTGTAGCGGCTGCTTTAATTTTGCGTTACTCTACTAGTAACGGGTATAATGAGATATTAAAATAGTTTTCAATAAAGTACCTATATTTTTAGGCAATTTGTTTTGAGGTTTTTCTTTTTTTTCTAAATTTTTTTTTTTGAATGCAGTTTTAAAGTTTTTAACACTTTAAATTCTCTCTAACTATCAGAGTATCGACTTATTCTTTAAGTAATTTTGTTTATTGGTAGGATAAGATAATATAAAGACTTTCTATCCCCAAAAGATATGTTTTACAAACATTATATTATTCCCACTTCTATTAGTTTGACCGCAACTGTAACGATTGTATTCTACAATATTTAAATAATTTTTCTGCATTCAGAAATTTGTAATCATTTGTACTCACCGTAACCTTGATTTTGGTCTTAAATCCGCGCAGCTCCTGCCGCAGAATCTCCAACAAGGCCGTAATCCCGTGCTTTGTTAGCGGATACATGTTGAGCAACTGCAATTCGTCGCCTGGTGGATTGATGATGGTTCGTCCCGTTAGACTATTGATGAGCACCACATGACCTGCCACCTCACGTTGCTGCATCGAGCGAAAAGCGCGCCGCGTGCAGATGACCACGCCCATCAGGTTCACGTTCAAAACCTGCTGCAGTTGCTCGAGCTCCAGGGTGAGCAGTTGTCCGGGGTTGAGGCAGCCGGCGTTGTTCACCAGGATGTCACAACCGCCCAGCTGCTCCTCGATCCAGTCAAAGGCTGCCGTCACCGAGTCCAGGTTTCCGACATCACAGTGGATGGTATGCATTCGGGTCTGCAGCTCCGGTGGCAGTTCTTCCTTAATGGCATCCATGCGGTCCACCCGCCGAGCCAGACCCACAACAATGACACCAGCACTCACCAGTTGGCGGGCCACGGCAGCTCCAATCCCGGAACTGGCACCCGTGATCACCGCTACGCGATCCTGCCAGCGATCCATCTCTTAGTTTTTCTCGTGTTAAATAGTTGGATTGTAACAGTCAGCTATCAAGCTGTCCCCCTCGCAACTGAGTCGAGATTTCGCAAAACAGCCACTATATATACCCCAAATCATCGCCTAAAGTTGACCACACAAATAAAATATTTAAAATCGACCGCCCATGCGCGCAGTTCACACGTGAGCTGAATAATTGAGTGGAATGGGCAGTAGCGGATTAGCAATGTCGCAAATGTAGCAAATGGTACGTGGCCCGCGCACTTACCTCTTAACTTTAATCAAATTCCAGAAAATATTTGTCCTTTCAATGTAACCTTTGAAATACCAAAAACTATCCATTACTCCAGCTTACCAAATGAAATCAATAGTTTTTCCGTTACAATCTTTTTAAACGAACTCTTGCAAAGGATATTATAAATTCAGTCAGAAGCTTGCAACGCTGCGAAGGAGCCATAGAACCTTATGGACTATCCGTTCAATGGGTGGTGCATGGCTGTCTGTGGGAAGGGGCCAATAACAGTAATTTCTATAGGCCCCATGCTACCTTAATCCGGCCCTGAGATTGGCGGATCTATGGCGCATGTTATAGTGTTATTAAGACATTAAAAAAAAATCGGCCGAGGGCCTAGACAACTTCCGCATAATAAATCAGTTGAATGATTTAATACCCATTACCTAAGAATTTTTATTAAAACGGTTTAAAGATCTAAAAAAGTAAGAACTAATAACAATTTAATAATTATTAATCTACGCATTTTATATGTGCTTACTTATTCAAGTATTTAAAAAAACATATAATTTTTTATAAAAGAACTAAATTTATAATAAAAAATAATTCGTATAGTCAGTTTATTAGGAATGAACAAATATGAATAATTAAACAATGTGATATTCAAAACAAAATCAAAGTTGCACACGGAAACAACGAGACATGTTAGAAAGCACTCATACACTCATTATCGTAGTCATACTTTTTACACGCGTTATATTTTAATTTTTTTGAATATTTGAATGTTCTATGCATTTAACTGCTAAACGTTGCTCCGCATTCCTTAACTTTTTATAAATATGATACAAATAAAGTCAAATTGGAAAAGTGTTGGCTCCATTTGTTTTATTTCGGTGCATTCCACGATTTATTCAGCTAGAAAATTTGTCCGAGGTTATGCCCAGTACTTTGAAATATTTAGTGGCCAAAGTGGAGCAATGCAGCGGTGTCCTAAAAGGGTTCGCCCATTGGCTTGATGGTCAGCTCGTGCACCTGGACGTGCGGGGGCGTGTCGAGAACATACATTATAGCATTGGCCACATCCTCTGCCTGCAGCATGGGCAACCGTTTGTAGGCCAAAGGTACGAGCTCTGTGTCCACCAATCCCGGACTGATGCTCTGTAAAGTAGTGTAGAGTAGTCAGATTAGTAGGCTATCTAGTTACTTCGGCGCATAAGCAAGGTTTTTATTACCCTAGCCATAACTCTACCTAAAAGGTATGGCCATAAAATACCTTAAGAGGGAAACATTAGGTGCAGTCATAAATCGTCAATTAAGGGCGTAAAAAGCATACATGCCGTTCTTTTAAAAACCAAACAGACTTCGCCAAAAATATTTATTCACATACATACACATACTATTCGAAAACTAAGTATACGCGTGTATCACGATTTCGCCAAGAAAACATAACATTTTGTATAATTTTTAAAAGCTTGCCAAATACCGAAAATGTCAAACTCTCACTCTCTTTGGATACTTATGGAGTTCATGCTTTTGCGACTTTCTGAATAAGCAAAAAATAAATTTAATTTCTATTATTAAAGGGAGGACTTATTAATTATTATATATTTTCTCTAATATGTCATAACGCCCGGTGTCATTACGGCCGCGGGCGCTATGAAAAAGGGTACATTGAGTATATTGTAAGCAACAGGTCGGCAAACTTCATAGGGTCGGAAACGTCCTTCCACCTGGTATATATTTTTGCACCAAAACAATATACCCTTCTACTCTTCCAAGACAACAAAAAAATTTTGGATTTCTCTTTTGTGATCTAGGGGTCCATTATCCTTCCTAGTGTATGTCAAACGATCAATAACACTGTGCAACAATATGAATGCTTTTTAAATTTACCTAGATGGAGGCTATCCGGCCTGTTCCAGTTCTCACTCGGAAGTGAATTTGATTTCATGCTGGCGGATTTAAGTCCGCCTGTCAAATGCTTGGCGGAAAGTTTCCGTGTGAATTTTTAGGAAGTTAACAGAGTAACAAAGAGGGATATTTTAATCCATGCATTTCTTTCGGAAGTGAGTCCTGGAACAGGTCAGAGAAATTCGATTCCGTGTGAATATTTTGGAAGTGAAAACTAGAACAGGGCCGTATATGGGCCTTTCTTTAACAAACCGAACAGATTTGGCCAAAAAAAAAATTTCACATTTTTGATTTGCCTGAAACTTTTTTTACACGTACTATTCGGAAAATAAGTAAACACGTGTATCAGGATTTAACCGAAAAAAAATTATTTTCCTAGTTAGAATTTTTTTAAGTGTGCCAAAAATTGTCAAATTTGAAAAAGTACCCTCTCATTGAAAATCTGTATCTCCGGTTATATGAATCCAATTGACTTCATGTCTTTTGCATAAATTCCTCTAAAACCTCTCCTTTCAAAATAAAATTTCTTAAAAAAATTGTTTTTTTAATTTCTTAAAAATAAAAACAAATTAAGATTTAAAAAAATTTTTTAACTATTGCCCCCACAAAAAAAAATTTTTTTTTTTTATTTTAATACTTGCGCCATATTGTTAGTTACAATCGGTTTTTGTAAAAAGTTGGAGCCACTTTTAGTTTTTAAAATATCGAATTTGTTTTAGCAAGGCCTCGGCTTTTTTCTATGAAAAAACGTCGCAGCAAGTAGATCTACTCTCTCACTCTTATCGAATCCTAATGGAATTTATGTTTTCTCATTGTTTACTAGTCCTTTAACAATTGTTAATGATTAAAAGTTAAGTTTTAAGTTTTTTGACAATTTCTGAATGACAAAAAGTAAAAAGTCATTTTTTAATCAATTAAAAACTTACAACTATTTATTTAACCGTCTATTTAATAAACAATAATTTTAAATTTATTTTATTTATTATTTTTTTATATTATGTAATTTATTAAACATTTTTAAATATGTTTTTTTAAGTTTTTAAAAAAATTTAGATTTTAAAAAAATTTAATAAAAATAAAAAATTATAAAATTTTATTAATTTTTTTTTTTAATTTAAAAATAAATATTTAAAAATGTTTAATAAATTACATAATATAAAAAAATAATAAATAAAATAAATTTAAAATTATTGTTTATTAAATAGACGGTTAAATAAATAGTTGTAAGTTTTTAATTGATTAAAAAACAAGAAAGGAAGCTAGCTTCGGCCAGCCGAAGCTTAAATACCCTTGCAGATCATTCCTATTAATTAACAAATCGCCAAAATGTTTAATTAATTTCATTAATCTCATTAATTTTCCGATCGTTCCTATGGCAGCTATATGATATAGTCGTCCGATTTTAATCAAATTAAAATTGAAATTCGGAAATATTTAAAAAGAGTCATGTCCTAGAGTAGAAGATAATACAATAAAAACCAAGGAAGCTAGAATTTATTTCCTATTACTTTTCTATTAATTTTCCGATCGTTCCTATGGCAGCTATATGATATATTAGTCCGATATTTTAAATATTTTATTCGAAATTCACAAATATTTAAAAAATAACATCCCCAAAAGTAGAAGGTAATATTTCAAAAAACACCGAAGCTAGAATTTTTTAAACGTTTTCTTTTCCGATCCTTCCTATGGGAGCTATAAGATATAGTTGTCCGATCCGGTCGGTTCTGACATATATACTACCTGCAATAGAATAAAGACTTTTGGGAAAGTTTCATTCCGATAGCTCAAAAACTGAGAGACTAGTTTGCGTAGAAACAGACAGACGGACAGACGGACAGACGGTCAGACGGACAGACGGACAGACGGACATGGCTAGATCGACTCGACTAGTGATGCTGATCAAGAATATATATACTTTATGGGGTCGGAAACGTCTCCTTCACTGCGTTGCAAACTTCTGACTGAAATCATAATACCCTCTGCAAGGGTATAATGACTTTTTACTTTTTGTCATTCAGAAATTGTCAAAAAACTTAAAACTTAACTTTTAATCATTAACAATTGTTAAAGGACTAGTAAACAATGAGAAAACATAAATTCCAGTAGGATCCGATAAGAGTGAGAGAGTAGATCTACTTGCTGCGACGTTTTTTCATAGAAAAAAGCCGAGGCCTTGCTAAAACAAATTCGATATTTTAAAAACTAAAAGTGGCTCCAACATTTTACAAAAACCGATTGTAACTAACAATATGGCGCAAGTATTAAAATAAAAAAAAAAATTTTTTTTTGTGGGGGCAATAGTTAAAAAATTTTTTTAAATCTTAATTTGTTTTTATTTTTAAGAAATTAAAAAAACAATTTTTTTAAGAAATTTTATTTTGAAAGGAGAGGCTTTAGAGGAATTTATGCAAAAGACATGAAGTCAATTGGATTCATATAACCGGAGATACAGATTTTCAATGAGAGGGTACTTTTTCAAATTTGACAATTTTTGGCACACTTAAAAAAATTCTAACTAGGAAAATAATTTTTTTTCGGTTAAATCCTGATACACGTGTTTACTTATTTTCCGAATAGTACGTGTAAAAAAAGTTTCAGGCAAATCAAAAATGTGAGCCAATAAAAGGTGTTCGGTTTGTAAAAGAACCGCCCATATTTTTGATTTCGTTACGAATTCCCAAGTTAAACTGCGTTTTCCAAAAAGTTCCCCGACGCAAAGATTCTTAAAGCACCTCAAAGTTGGGAAAATGCTGAAATTGGCAAACTTTCCGGAGGTCTCAGAGGCAAACTGAATCATGTTTTGTTTTGATGTTAAAGTTTTCTAAAAGCTACACTCTTTATCTTTCAAACCCCATACTTAGAATAATTTTGGGATTTTTTTAATCATAATCAAAAAACAGAAAAGTGTACAGCTGCGGTCAAAATAGTAGTAGTGTTGCCACCCTGTGTTTTCAAAAGTTTGTTGTCATTTAAATAACATCGACTAGTTTTTATAGCCGATACTATCGGCTAATATATCGGTGGCAAATCGATATCTGGAACACTATTAAAAAAAGGCGATTTGCAATGATCACTGTAAGCTTTCGGATTTCCATCCTGATTTACATTTCCCTTATTAATTAAAAAAAACCCCGTCACCTTGGAAGCTTGATTTTTCCTTTTATATTTTAAACAAATTTTTTCGATCTTCCAAAGTCCAAACATTTTTAAAGTTTAAAAAAACTTGTTTAACTCCGCTCATGTGAAATTTTATTTTTTACTTTAAATATTGTTTTTAACTGTTCAAAATCGAAAATTTTTTTAAGTAAATTGTATTTATATTAACTTTAGCCTAACTTCTCAGTTTTTGTCCGATTGACTTAAATTTTTTTTGTATAATCCTGAGATTCTAATCTACACGAATTTTTGGAGAAATTAAAAAAAGGCCAAAAACGTTTTTTACACTTAAAAAAAATTGACACCATAAAAAAAATTTTAAGTGCCCATTTCTTAATCAGGGAGTTGTATCTTACCGGAAAATTCAGGTTGTCTTCGATGAGGAAGAGGTCGATTTTATTTTGTAAACTGGTGTTATCAAATGTGCCAAGTAACAGCGCTCTATTAACATTTTTGGAATTTATGCAAAAAAATTGATCATTCCGACCAGTGTGGGATGGGCCTCTATGGGAAGAGTCTATCATTCTAGTTTTCACCCCTATCGATAGCAACCTCTAGAACTAAGAAAATAAATACGTTCACTTAACATACATAGAGGATTGTATATGTTTATTCCCATTCTGTAGGATGCCTTGACTTATTTAAAATTTTACAACATTTAGGAGTAGATAATGAAATAAAAAAATCGGTTTTATTAGTATAATAAATCCAATAAAAAATATCCTCATGAAATTGCTTTAAACCGAAATTAAAGCATGAACAATAGATACAATGAATAGTTAAAATTAGTTCCATTCAAGATTTAATCCTCAGAATTGTTTTTCCATCAGAAAAATCTCTACAATTTTGGGATTTTCAACTTTGGCGTCGAATTTCAAAGACATGGGCAATGGTTCACAATGGGGACTAATTTTTAGGAATGCCGTGATGTAGTGAGAGTAGATTTCAGCGAAAATATTTAAGGTAAGTCAAATTTTATCGGCCACATAATTCGCACTGTCGGCAAACATCGGATTTTTGTATTCTTAGCTATAACGCAGAACCTGTAGGTGATGGGACATAAGTTTGAATGGGACTTTTACTCACGAGCACCCAATTATCATGGAAAACTAGAAATGGTTCGTGCAAATTTTTGGCTGTGTACCTGTGTAATCGAACGAAATAGAAAGCATGTACCAACCGTGACTTTAACCTGCGTCTTGAACTCCCGCATCTCCTGGCGGAAGAGCTCGGTGAGGGCGGTGACCGCGTGCTTGGTGGCCGGGTACATGTTGAGTTCCTGCTGGCTTCCAGGCAGTGGGTTGAATATGTAGTGGCCTACAATGCTGTTGATGAGCACCACATGACCGTCGGAATGGCGCTCCTTCATCGATTCGAAGGCCCGCTGGGTGCAGTGGACCACGCCCATTACGTTCGTCTGCAGCACTTGCTGCACAGTGTCCAGCGGCATGGTTAGCAGCTGTCCGCCGGACAGCTTTCCGGCGTTATTAATCAGAATGTCCACACCGCCCAGTTCTCGCTGGACTGCGTCGAAGGCTTCGTTCACGGATTCCACGTTCGTAACATCGCACTGTCGGATGTGGAGCTGCGATCGTCGATCCTCCGACACTTCCTGGTGCAGTTGCTCCAAACGCTCCAGGCGACGGGCGAGGGCCACCACCACCACACCGGCGGAGATCAGTTTTCGAGCGATTTCCGCACCTATTCCTGAACTGGCGCCGGTCACCACGGCCACGCGATTCTGCCAACGGTTCATGACGACGACTCGAAGCCTAATGAAATCTGTCAGGTCTCTGAGTCAATCGAAAGCTTGGGATGATGGATACCCATTCTCTATTTCCACACACACAAATATGCACTTAAAGCAGTAAATAAATTAGAACACATTAAATATAATATTTGAGTCAAATATTATATTCAAATATTATTTAAAATTATTCAATAAATTACGTACATTTAATAATTCAAGTTAAAACCACCAAGTTTACGAGCTTCCGTGATTATTAGTGGTTCTAACAGCCAACATAAGACAGCACAAAACAGATTTATTTTAATTTATTAAAGATGATAATATAAAAAAAATAATAAATAATAAAGATAATATAAAAAACTAAAACTAACATAAGAGGTTATAGTGCTAACCTTCGACTACACAAATCAGCTTTAAAAACAAAAGTAAAAAGAACAGAAATTAAAGGAAGACTAAAAAAATTATTTTCGACTTGAAAAAAAGGGTTTTAATCGGAACATAAATTAAAAAGTTATTGATAGTTTAAGCAATTTGTATTACGTTAGTTTCACGGGGGCACGGATCCAAAGGAGGGGAAAAGAGGATAGGTATCTATCCCGAAACTAAATGGGACAAATTATACTTTTCTCAGTAATCAATTCTGACAAAAGAGGCAGAGAATCCAAATTTAGTTGGATAGTTCGGTAAACGGGCAGAAACGGCAGCACTGTCCATAACTCAAAATAAAATGTGTGTGTTGTAATTTTTCTACGTGCATTGACGTCTGCAATTACGATTTCACGTTGCATAACCTTCCCAACCGCAGATCAAAGCTATCCGAATACAGATCACTACAACCGCAATTCAATCACTGACGTTCGCCCCAGTTAAACATTTTCCAGTATGAGATCTGCACAGAGAGAATTCATTATACCCTTGCAGAGGGTATAGAGCATAGATATACAGCTGTGAAAAAAATAATAGCACCACTAACCCAAAAAAATTTTAACTAGTCACCCTACTCACATTTTTTAACTTTTCAAAACGGGTTTTAAATAGTAAGACTAAACATAATTTGAATATGAACAAAAATGTTAGCTTTATAAAAGGTTTCTGGACTTATTTAAGAAAATCTATGCAAAACTGGAAAAACGTACGAAAAAAATAATAGCACCACTTCGTCGCAGGTTCGTAACTTTAAACAAATATGTGGAAAACGGGGATTTTTATATAAGAAGTGTTTTTTATTATCTTGATTAGTATTCGCCCTATTTAAAAAAATTGATACGGATATCGAAAATATTGTCTACATATAATTTTTTCAATATGTTATAACATATAAGCCAACATATTATAATTTTTACGATTTGCATTAGCTTATTTGTTTATGTTTGGTTTGTAAAACTTGGAAATATGTCGGAAAGGAAAGTTCGTGGAAAAACCTTTTCATTGTTGGAGGAGCATATCCCCATTGATCTTGTGGATAGTATGAAGCACATTTTGGAAAATAAGAAGAGTGATGCCGATACCTGGAAGGAGAAAGCAGATGCCTGGGAACGTCTTGCTGAGAAATTCGCTGCCCAATCTGGAATAGAGCGGACGTGGAAAACATTGAGGGACAAATATGACCACCTAAATAAGAAAACCCGAAGTGAATTTGCTGCCGAGAAGCTCGAAAGATACCGCACTGGTGGAGGAGTCGCGTCTTCCACTTCTGTTTCCGCAATCTCCGAAAAGATAGGAGCCATAATCCAAACGGCAAGTACGCTGGATAGTTTTAATAACGTTTATAATAACTTTCTAATCTGCAGCATATCTACGTTCGATCGACGATAAGGATAAAGAACCTCCTAGTTTGAACGCCGTTAATAGTAATTGCAGCTTATCCGATACCATTGTACTACAGGTTGTAAAATTGAAGTACATTTTAAAATATTAGCTCTTATGTTTACATACTATAATAATTTAAGGAAGATCCCGCGCTGCAAGAACATGCCGCGTAAGGAAGTGGGATTTCAAGGATGGAATCCAACGAATCTAGGACAAGAAGGACAAGAAGTCGCAGAAACTGTGTTTTCCTCGAAAGAGAGGAGCAGAAGAAGACAGACTTTCCCTTCTTAAGCTTCAGCAAGAATATTATCGAAATGAAAATGATCGAGCTGCAGAGAAACATTCATGCGACATGGAGGGCCACAAACTGCATATGGAAAAGCAGATGGCTGAACTTTTAACTTTTTAATTAGGCATTTTTTAAGGGAATTTTAAATTAAAAAAATTCTGTACGCCCAAAATACACGCGGTTCCTGATTTAAAAAAATTATCCTCATATTGCTTCATTAATTCTTAACAAAGTGGTAAAATACAATTTTTGAAATCGCTTGACCTACAAGTCAAGACAACGATTTTAGTTTAGCAACTTTGCATCAAGCAACAACAGCGCAACGTGTAAGAAAGGGAAAGCCATATTTGCGCTCTTCGGTGCTCGTATTGCTGTTCTCTTCTTACACTAAGTAAGTTTGGAGTATACTCTTGGAAATAATATTTTTTTAAAAATTCTGAAAAATTCAAAATCGGACGACTATATAGCTCCATAGGAACGATCGGAATATTAATAAGAAAACAAGAAAAGAAGTTAGCTTCGGCAGGCCGAAGTTTGTATACCCTTGCAGTTTGAATACATGCTTACCTTCTTTGAGAGCTTCCAACGCTTTATTTCGATGGGTCCTGTTCAGGTATATCAGATGTATATTGGCCATTTTTTAGATTTGGTTTTTAAAATGTCAGAAATCAAAATGAATACACCCAAAAACAAGAAAGGAAGCTAGCTTCGGCCAGCCGAAGCTTATATACCCTTGCAGATAAAGTAAATACCTATAGTTTAATGCTCACTCTGTGCAGTTCCAGGAATTCCAGATTCAGCGTGCCTATTATTTAAATTTTGTTTTTAAGTTGTCAAAAATCAAAACGCCTACTTCCTACAAAGTTACAATGAATTTTCTTATATTTGTTTGAATATTCCCATGGGAGCCTTAAGATATAGTGGTCCGATCCGGCTCGCTCCGACATATGTAGGTACTACCTGCAAAAGAAAAAAGACTTTTGGGAAAGTTTCATGGCGATAGATTTAAAACTGAGAGACTAGTTCGCATAGAAACGGACAGACGGACATGTCTAGATGGACTCGGCTATTGGTGATGATCAAGAATATATATACTTTATGTGGTCGAAAACGTCTCCTTCACTGGCGTTGCAAACATCTATCTGACCCTCTGCAAGGGTATAATAATAGGAAATAAATTATAGCTTCTTTGCTTCTAATTTGTTTCGGTGTAAAACTAAAGGAAGCAAGCTAGGCATAATCACAAATAAATTTGCAATGATTGGTGGGATATTTATTTTAATATTAGTCCGCCCACCACGGGGGCAATTGTAAGCGAAGATTCTGGTTCAGGGTTAATTTCGATTTTTCTCCCCTAAGCTGTTTGCTTCTTCCTCTTTTCTCCTTTCTGTGCCCTTGAATAACTGAATCGAAGTCGTATGATGAGGATACCGTAATGAAATATTGACGGGTCGTATTCGCACACTTGTCGCAGCTGCAAGCCGGGCCAACAAAAGCAAAACAGAAAGCACAAGAAAAACAACAAGCTCGACAGCTGCACAAAAGTTTTTTCTTGGAAATATAAATAAAAATCAATTTGAGGCGCATTTTACAGCGCCGAAACTCAAACATAGCGGGCTTCAAAAACAGTTCGGAGGCGGGGAGCTGAAAATGTTCATAGGGGGTGTGCCTCTTACGCAAGCAAATGTCGGCAATAGTTTACAAATGCCGTAGGGGAAAGTCTGGTGGGGACTTCGTCTTAGTACCGTGTGTTATGCACCTTAAAAATATTTGGAATCAAAATAATGATTTTATTATTGACTTTATACATTTTATAAGTGTGAACTTTAATGACTTTCCCCTAATGCAAGCAGTAAGAACAAATTTTAGTTTCATTTAAAAACAATAAATGTAATGTTAGGTAACATTTTCTTATGTATAAATAGCTATAATAAAATAAAAGATAATTCTACTGAACGTTTTTTGTTGAAATTGTTGTGTAAAACATCAGCTTCAGCTCTATATGATAAGTCCTATATGATTTTGAGCTGTGAAACGATTTTTGGGGCTGTGATTTTTTGCGATTCCCGTCCCATGGGCACACGTGCTATTTGCTCACGTGTTTATGGAAATTGAGCAACGTATTTCAAGTATTTGGAGGAGCGTCAGCCCAAAGCGTCGTTTATTTGCTGACTCGGGACGAGCGAGGAAAAGGCAAGAAAAATGCGCATGAAAATTTCACTGATTACGTATTTGCCAAGGAGGAGGCAACAAACAAGACGAAGTGGGTGTCTCAAACTTTTCGGCAAACAAGAATCTATTAGTCGCATTAGACTCGGCAGGATGCGCCCCTCAGCCGAAGTCTGCAGGCTGGAATACGGGGTTTCCCCCATCAGGGTATGCAGCTTCTGAGGTGTCCGTACCAGTGGTCAGAGTTCGATGCTGAGCACGTGCATATACACTAGTCGGCATAATTATTTTGACAGATTTGAATGTTAACTGTAGTCAAATTGTGAACTTTTAATATTAACTTTTGGCACCTATAGAAAGAGCACTTCAATTCCGTTTAAATTACACAAAAATGTTCTTAACCCATTAAGACCCCTTTGAAAAGTGAGCAAATTTTGTGAAAGTCAAATTTTAAACTTTTTTCCTGGGGCTTAAAACAAAAATGTTTTGATGCAAAGTTTTTCCCCAATCAAAATTAATAATAACTGCAAAAAGTTCATTTGAATTCGGCGATCTCATAGATCTGGCAGCTTTTTTCCAGTGCCAGCGGTTCCAATGCCATCCCTAGATGGCGCTATTGTATATTGTATTGCGCCATCTACCTCCAGATATTGGCATTACTGGCCATGAAAGGCGGAAATGTAGGCGCTAGACAGGTTTTAACGTTTGGGCGTGGCAAACTTTTACTTGGCCAATCGATATGTATTGACAAAACGATACATATCAGTTACTTTCATTCATTTTCATAATAGCTTCAAACTCAGGAACTCCTAGAATCTGCATGCAAAATGATAATCTTCTAGCTTTAATAGTTTCCGAGATCTCAGACAGACAGACAGACATGGACACGACTACAATATACCCTTTTACTCTACGAGTAACGGGTATAACAAAAGTACAACATTTTGAACTAATTTACTACCACATTTTTGAAATATCTTACAGATTTGCTGAATGGATGAAGTAGAATGTCTCCAGTGTGCATACCACCACGGAAGTCTCTCCAGCTACTTTGATTCGCATTGCATTCGTTTTGCCGCTTCAACAGAGGCGACTGGAACAGCTGCTCCCGATCCTAGGGTGTCCTACTGCTCCTTGCGCTTGTTGTGGCGTCTTTTGCTGCTGCTGCGCCTGCTGCCGCTGGCCATAATTCAAATTTGCAGTTTTCTATGCTAATTCGTTTTGTATCGTCGGTAAGATGACAGTGCCCTCGGATCGGCCGCAGAAAGTGTGCCGGAAATTTATGCAGCCCTGGCATATGTGGTGTCCCCTTGAAAAAAGGGGTGTGCGAAATTCAAATTCGAAATATGGAATACGGAATGTGGAATGTGGAATGCGGAATGCAGAGTTCCGAATCCGAAGGACCATCAGGCGACAAGTGAAATGTGCAGGAAAACACGCGACATTTGCATTTTGCCTGACCCTCGAAGGCGGCGCCAGCTGTTTTCATTATGCCAATTTGTCTTGGCCTTCCCATGCCTCGAAGTCGCCCCGCATAATTATGTAAGCAGCTGTCCGGGCCTCCCATTCCCCTCTTTTGCTTTCGGCCATTTAAGCTGGCTTATGCTTCTGTTTTATGGTCGGAAAGGAAGGCTCCCAGGTGGGTATGTGCGGCAAGACTTCCACTGGAACGGCATCCACTTGGCGTGCGGGCTGGTATGACCACCCATAAACTGTCCAATATAGCCACGAACCCTGAGACTGCAACAATGTCCAGTAATCGCCCCGTCTCGCGCGATCTCTTAATGATTGATTCAATTTTAATGCGTATCGAAATTTATTATTATTTGGCTGGCACAGTAATTAGTTGTAGTCAGTAGTTGCCAACTGGTGAGCCGGATATCCTTTTTCAGTTTCAGTTTATGATGGCTCTTCCGCAGCCTCGAATTGGCCGGGATCCAGGACTTCACCGAATGCGAATTCAAATATGGCTACGATGGTGCCGGAAGTACTCTTTTACTCTTGCTTAAAGAATTAAATCTAGATACACTGATAAAAAAATGGAACAGTAAATTTAAATATCCTCCTATTGAATCAAAAATCTCAGATTTGGTATTTAAATTTAATACAAAAAACATTGTATTAAATACGAAACATATTAAAATGCCTAGTTTAATATTAAAATATTTAAATCCATGAAGGATTTATTTATTTGAAAAAGTTTTATATTTATTGTTAATATTTTCAGAATTAAAAAAAAAATGGGTGTGTCAAGTGAAACTTGTTGTGTTCTCTCGTTTATCATTTCATTATTTCTTTTTTTCTGTCTAGGGTTAGTTTGAAGATTATAGGTTAAATAATTCAAGGACGAAGCATGGATTTGGTTTATTTCATATTTATTTACAAGTATACAATATTACATAAATAACAATATTACAATTAAAAGCAAGAGAGAACGCTATAGTCGGGTGGGTGTCCCGACTATCTAATACCCGTCACTCAGCTAAAGGGAGTGCGAGGGAGATATATATGGGACGCTCCATATCAACCCGGCCACCCCCCTTTTTTT